GCTCGCAACAGGAGTATTGCATCCAAGAAGTCGCCTGGAGCATTTGCAGCTGGTTCTCCAGATCAGCCAAGGAGCAGGGGATTTGTGCCGCCTCCAATGCCCAACTTCATCAGTGCAAGCATGGCCAAAGAAGCAGATAAGCAGAAGAGAACTAGCTTCCCTCCACCACCAAACTTCATCAGTGCCAGCATGGCAGAAGCAGAGGCCGAGAAGCAGCTGTTCCCACCACCACCCAACTTCATCAGTGCAAGCATGGCAGAAGAAGAGGCCAGAAAGAAGAATTTCCCACCTCCACCAAATTTCATCAGTGCAAGCATGGCAAAGGAAGCTGGTATGGATACTTCAACAGCAGTTGCTGCTCCCGGGGGCATGGGTGATGTCAACACTGCCATGGCTATTCTTGCAGCAAGGAATGCAGGCAATACAAACAGAAATGTGCCTGTTGGTGACCTTGAAGCAAAGTACCAGCAGCTGTTAGCAGAAAAGGAGGAACTAAGGGCCAGTTTGAAGACTAAGGAGCAAGACTGGCAGAGAGAACGAGAGAATCTAGTGAAGAACTCAGTTGCCTGCCTAGAGGCTAGATTCCAAGATATCAAGCAAGAGAAAGAGGAGCTAGAAACTTTACTCTCTGCTGAGAGGACGCTATGGAAGAAGGAGCGTGAAACTCTTGTCCAAATGACTCATGATCCCCTGCCAGCCAGTTTTTGCAGCGCAAGCATTGCTCAGAAAGCACAAGCCCAACAAGGGCGAACTTTCCCTCCACCACCAAACTTCATCAGTGCGAGCATGGCAGAATCAGAGTCCAAGAAGCAGCTGTTCCCACCTCCGCCCAACTTTATCAGTGCAAGCATGGCAGCAGAGGAGGCCAGAAAGAAGCAGTTCCCACCTCCACCCAATTTCATCAGTGCCAGTATGGCAAAGGAAGCTGCTATGGATACTACAGCAGTGGCTGCTTCAGGGCATTCAGGTGACATCAACACTGCCATGGCTATCCTCGCAGCTCGCAACAGGAGCATTGCATCCAAGAAGTCACCTGTACCAGTTGCCGCTGGTTCTCAAGATATGAGCAAGGGATTTGTGCCACCTCCCATGCCCAACTTCATCAGTGCCAGCATGGCCAAAGAAGCAGAGGCCAGAAGAAGCTTTCCCTCAACCACCAAACTTCATCAGTGCCAGCATGGCCGAAGCAGAGGCCAAGAAGCAGCTGTTCCCACCACCACCCAACTTCATCAGTGCCAGCATGGCAGAAGCAGAGGCCAGAAACTTACCACCACCACCCAACTTCACAGTGCAAGCATGGCGGAAGCAGAGGCCAGAAAGAAGAACTTCCCACCTCCACCAAACTTCATCAGTGCAAGCATGGCAAAGGAAGCTGGTATGGATACTTCAACAGCAGTGGCTCCGCCTGGGGGCATGGGTGATGTCAATACTGCGATGGCTATCCTTGCTGCTCGCAACAGGAGTATTGCATCGAAGAAGTCCCCCATACCAACAGCCGGCTCCCAAGATCAGCCAAAGCGCAAGGGATTTTCGCCACCTCCTATGCCCAACTTCATCAGTGCAAGTTGGCCAAAGAAGCAGATGAGCAAAAGAGAAGCTGCTTCCCACCACCGCCAAACTTCATCAGTGCCAGCATGGCAGAAGCAGAGGCCAAGAAGCAGCTGTTCCCACCACCGCCCAACTTCATCAGTGCAAGTATGGCAAAAGAGGCTGGTATGGAACTTGGGGGTTCTTCAAGAGTGTCAGTTGTTGGAGATGTTGGTGATGTGAACACTGCCATGGCTATTCTTGCAGCAAGGAACCGGGAAACCTCAGGCAAAACGAGTGTGACGAAACATCTGGAAGCGAGATATCATGAGATGGTGGCAGAAATGAGACAACTCAAAGGCGCTCTAGAGATGGAGAGAGTACAGTGGCAACAGGAGAGGGAAGCTCTTGTCAGGAATTCATTTGGCAAGCTCCAGTCCAAGTTCCATGAGGTGAATGCAGAAAACGAGGCATTGAGGGCATTGCTTGAAAATCAACAGCAAGAAGTTGTAGAAGAGGTAGATATCGCAGGAAGAAGTTTCTTCCCACCACCACCAAACTTCATCAGTGCCAGCATGGTGCAGAAAGCACAAACCCAACAAGGGCGCAATTTCCCTCCTCCACCCAACTTCATCAGCGCAAGCATGGCAGAAGAAGAGGCCAGAAAGAAGAATTTCCCACCTCCACCAAACTTCATCAGTGCAAGCATGGCAAAAGAAGCTGGTATGGATACTTCAACAGCAATAGCTACTCCCGGGGGCATTGGTGATGTCAACACTGCCATGGCTATCCTCGCAGCTCGCAACAGGAGTATTGCATCCAAGAAGTCGCCTGGAGCATTTGCAGCTGGCTCTCCAGATCAGCCAAAGAGCAGGGGATTTTGGCCACCTCCAATGCCAACTTCATCAGTGCAAGCATGGCCAAAGAAGCAGATGAGCAAAGAGAACTAGCTTCCCTCCACCACCCAACTTCATCAGTGCAGCATGGCAGAAGGAGGCCAAGAAGCAGTTCCCACCTCCACCAACTTCATCAGTGCAAGCATGGCAGAAGAAGAGGCCAGAAAGAAGAATTTCCCACCTCCACCAAACTTCATCAGTGCAAGCATGGCAAAAGAAGCTGGTATGGATACTTCAACAGCAATAGCTACTCCCGGGGGCATTGGTGATGTCAACACTGCCATGGCTATCCTCGCAGCTCGCAACAGGAGTATTGCATCAAGAAGTCGCCTGGAGCATTTGCAGCTGGCTCTCCAGATCAGCCAAAGAGCGAGAGGATTTGTGCCACCTCCAATGCCCAACTTCATCAGTGCAAGCATGGCCAAAGAAGCAGATGAGCAGAAGAGAACTAGCTTCCCTCCACCACCAAACTTCATCATGCCAGCATGGCAGAAGCAGAGGCCAAGAAGCAGCTTTCCCACCTCCGCCCAACTTCATCAGTGCAAGCATGGCACAAAAGGAGGCCAGAAAGAAGAACTTCCACCTCCACCAAACTTATCAGTGCAAGATGGCAAAGGAAGCTGGTATGATACTTCAACAGCATGGCTGCTCCTGGGGGCATTGGTGATGTCAACACTGCCATGGCTATCCTCGCAGCTCGCAACAGGAGTATTGCATCCAAGAAGTCGCCTGGAGCATTTGCAGCTGGTCTCCAGATCAGCCAAAGAGCAAGGGATTTGTGCCACCTCCAATCCCAACTTCATCAGGCAAGCATGGCCAAACAAAGCAGATGAGCAGAAGAGAACTAGCTTCCCTCCACCACCAAACTTCATCAGTGCCAGCATGGCAGAAGCAGAGCCAAGAAGCAGCTGTTCCCACCACCACCCAACTTCATCAGTGCAAGCATGGCAGAAGAAGAGGCCAGAAAGAAGAATTCCCACCTCCACCAAACTTTATAGTGCAAGCATGGAAAGGAAGCTGGTATGGATACTTCAACAGCAGTGGCTGCTCCTGGGGGCATGGTGATGTCAACACTGCAATGGCTATTCGCAGCTCGCAACAGGAGTATTGCATCCAAGAAATCTCCTTCACCATTGCAGCTGGCCTTCAGATCAGCCAAAGAGCAAGGGATTTGTGCCACCTCCAATGCCCACTTCATCAGCGTAGCATGGCCAAACAAGCAGATGAGCAAAAGAGGACTAGCTTCCCTCCTCCACCAAACTTATCAGTGCAAATGGCACAAAGAAGCAAATTCATTCCCACCTCCCCAAATTTCATCAGTGCAAGCATAGAAGCAGAGGCCAGAAGAGCCGACCATGCAATGGCGAAGAGGCCAAGAAGAATTTCCACCTCCACCAAACTTTATTAGTGCAAGCATGGAAAGGATGCAGGAATGATGACTTCAGGCGCTCGAAGTTCTTCAGTTTCCGGTGATGCTGGTGATGTCAATACTGCCATGGCTATTCTTGCAGCAAGGAATGCAGTCACCACAAACAGAACTGTGCCTGTTGGTGATCTTGAAGCAAAGTACCAGCAGCTGTTAGCAGAAAAGGAGGAACTAAGGGCCAGTTTGAAGACTAAGGAGCAAGACTGGCAGAGAGAACGAGAGAATCTAGTGAAGAACTCATTTGCCAACCTACAGGCCAAATTCCTCAAGGTCAAGGAGGAAAATGACGGATTGAGAGCATTGCTAGGGAACCAGCATCAAGAAGCCCTCGAAGAGGAAACAGTTGCGGACCAAAGTCACTTCCCACCACGACCCAATTTCATCAGTGCAAGCATGGCTCAGAAAGCACAAGCCCAACAAGGGCGAACTTTCCCTCCACCAAAACTTCATCAGTGCGAGCATGGCAGAATCAGAGTCCAAGAAGCAGCTTTTCCCACCTCCGCCCAACTTCATCAGTGCAAGCATGGCAGAAAAGGAGGCCAGAAAGAAGCAGTTCCCACCTCCACCAAACTCATCAGTGCAAGCATGGCAAAGGAAGCTGGTATGGATACAGCAACACGATGGCTGCTCCTGGGGAGCCTGGTGATGTCAACACTGCAATGGCTATCTTGCAGCTCGCAACAGGAGCATTGCATCCAAGAAGTTGCCTTCACCAGTTGCGGCCGGCTCTCGAGATATGAGCAAGCGTTTGTGCCACCACCTATGCCCAACTTCATCAGTGCAAGCATGGCCAAAGAAGCAAAAGCCCAACAAGGTCGAATTTTCCCTCCACACAAACTTCATCAGTGCAGCATGCAGAACGGGCAAGCCTTTCCACCACACCCAACTTCATCAGTGCAAGCATGGCAGAAGAGGAGGCCAGAAAGAAGCAACTTCCCACCTCCACCAAACTTCATCAGTGCAAGCATGGCAAAGGAAGCTGGTATGGATACTTCAACAGCAGTGGCTGCTCCTGGGGGCATTGGTGATGTCAACACTGCCATGGCTATCCTCGCAGCTCGCAACAGGAGTATTGCATCCAAGAAGTCGCCTGGAGCATTTGCAGCTGGTTCTCCAGATCAGCCAAAGAGCGTGGGATTTGTGCCACCTACAATGCCCAACTTCATCAGTGCAAGCATGGCCAAAGACACAGAGATGCAAAAGAGAACTAGCTTCCCACCACCACCAAACTTCATCAGTGCCAGCATGGCAGAAGCAGAGGCCAAGAAGCAGCTTTTCCCACCACCACCCAACTTCATCAGTGCAAGCATGGCGGAAGAAGAGGCCAAAAAGAAGAATTTCCCACCACCACCAAACTTTATTAGTGCAAGCATGGCAAAGGAAGCAGGTTTCGATACTGAGGGTGATGTGATGGTGGCAGCACATGCAGGTGCTGGTGATGCTGGTAATGTCAACAGAACCATGCCCATCATTGCAGCAAGGAACAGGGGCACTGCAAGCAGCACTGTTCCCATTGGTGATCTCTCAGCAAAATTCCAGCAGCTATTGGCAGAAAAGGAGGAACTTATGGCCAGTCTGGAAACTAAGGAGCACAACTGGCAGAGAGAAAGAGAGAATCTAATCAAGAACTCATTCGCCAACCTACAGGAAAAGCTCTACCAGACTCAGCAAGAGCTGGATGATGCCCTACAGGCAAGAGGTAGCTTGGAAGCCACAGTAAGGGATGCTGAATTATTGGTAAAGGCTTTGGAACAGAAAGCTGTGCAGCTAGAATCTCGACAAAGAAGGCTGGGTGGAGGCGAAGCAGACTCTAGAGTTACTTCATATGACCAAGATTTGCAGCGATTGCAGGCTGAGAATGATACTCTTCAAAAGCGTGTTGCAATACTGGAAACATCAGAGGACTCGGACTCAGAGAGTAAAGAGGATGATGATGGTGGCTTGCTTAACCAGTTGGCTGACGCAACAGAGCAAATTGTGTCACTTCGTGATGGTTTGGCACAATCTGAAGAACAGCAGCTAGTTTTGGCTCAAGAAAAAGAAGCTTGGGATGCTGAAAGGGACCAACTGGAAAAACGGCTGGATGAAGTGCTGGAACAGTTGGTGGATGCAACAGAGCAAGTGGCTGATCTGAAGGAAGAAAAAGATCAATTTAGGTGGCAGCAGCAGGTCGCCATGGAAGCCAAACAAAAAGCTGAGCGGTCCCGACGTGCTTCAATCACAATGATTACCAGTCTGGAAGCCACACTAGCAAGAAAGGAAGCTGACATGGACAATTCACAAGCCACAAAGATGAATGAAAACCAAGAACTCCAGAAGAAAGTGGAAGATCTAGAAAATACATTGGCTCAAGCACAAGCACAACTCGAAGCTTCCCAGGAACAGGTGGAGTCGCTTCGTGCGACCAACCAAGAAGATTCTCTAAGCGGACTAGCATCCATGAGCAGAGAAGCTACTGGAGAACTGACAAAGCTTCAAGCAGAATTGGAGGGTGTGAAATCAGAGTATGCGAGCGTCTTGAACGATGTCAACAAGCAGAAAGAGGAACGGAAGCACATGCAAGAAGAGATTGAGGCTTTGCAAAAGGTCAACTCAAGACTATTGAATGACCTTGAAGCTGCAGACAAAGAAAGTGAAGATGCCCTTCAAACAATGCAAGCAGCACTAGAAGCTGTCAAGAGTGACAAGAGCAAGATTGTTGATGATCTTGAGAAATCTGTGACCAAGAAGGGAGAAGAGATTAGAAAGTTGCAAACGCAGCTTGAATCTTTACAACAAGAGAAAAGAGGAGAGCAGGAAATGTTGCGGCTTGCAGCCACTGCCAGAGAAGGAGAACTACAAACCCTCCGTGCAGACAAGGGAGAGCTGGTCCAGCAGCTACAAGCCGAGTTGGATGAAGTGAAAGCCACTGCCAACAACCACAAAGAGGAGCGCCAAAAACTCCAAGAAGAGATCAATGCATTGCAAAAGGTCAACACAAGGCTTTTGAATGATCTGGAAGCCACAGACAAAGAGAATGAGGATGCCCTACAGACCATGCAAGCTGCACTAGAGAATGTCAAAAGCGACAAGAGCAGGCTTGCTGGTGATCTTGAGGCTGCTCTGGCTGAGAAGGGAGAGGAGATTAGGAAGCTAAGAATACAACTGGAGGCTCTGCAACGGGAGAAGAGAGGAGAGCAGGAAATGTTGCGGCTTGTAGCCACTGCCAAAGCAGGAGAACTTGAAACCCTCCGTTCTGATAGTGGAGCCATGGTGCAGAAGCTACAGGCTGAGTTGGATGGAGTTAAGGCAGAATACACCAACCTCTTGAATGATGTCAACAAGCAAAAGCAAGAGAGGGAGAACCTTCAAGAAGAGATGAATGCATTGCAGAAAGTCAACACAAGACTTTTAAATGATTTGGAAACAGCAGACAAGGAGAGCGAGGATGCACTGCAGGCAATGCAAGCTGCGCTAGAAAACGTCAAGAATGACAAGAGCAAGATTGTTGGTGATCTTGAGGCATCTGTGGCTAACAAGGGCGAAGAGATTCGCAAGTTCAAACTGCAGTTGGAGGCTTTACAACGAGAAAGAAAAGAAGAACAGGATATATTGAGATTTGCTGCCACTGCCAGAGAAGGAGAGGTCCAAACACTCCGAGCCGACAAGGGGGGGCTGGCCCAGAAGCTACAAGCTGAGTTGGATGGAGTTAAGGCAGAATACACCACCCTTTTAGGTGATGTCAACAAGCAGAAACAAGAGCGGGAGGACCTTCAAGAAGAGATTGAAGGATTGCAAAGGGTCAACACGCGACTTTTGAATGATCTGGAAACCACAGACAAGGAAAGTGAGGATGCCCTTCAGACCATGCAAGCTGCACTAGAAAGTGTGAAGAGTGACAAGACAAGGCTTGTTGGTGATCTTGAGGCATCTTTGGCTGAGAAGGGAGAAGAGGTTAAAAAGCTGCAATTGCAACTTGAGGCTCTGCAACGAGACAAGCAGGGAGAACAGGAAATGTTGCGGTTTGCTTCCACGGCCAAGGAGGAAGAGCTCCGGACTTTAAAAAGCGAGCTTGTGTCGCTACGTCAGACAAGCAAGGATTTGGAAGCATTGTGCACGGCAAAAGATGACGACCTTCACAAAGTACAGAGTGCGTCTGAGGCTCTCCTTGCTGACTTGGAAAAAGTCACAGACGCACAGGAGGCTCTCGAAGCAGAAAACGTGAGGCTGAATACCGAGTTGGACACCAAAGTATCAGAGCAAAAGCGGTTGGAAATGTCTGTGGAATCTTTGGAGCGGTCCTTGAAAAAAGCCGAATCCACCGTGCAGACCCTCCAAGAAAATGCATCTGCAGCCGAGGAATCGAAAAAGGAAACAGAAACCTCCCGATCACTGGGATTTGAGTCGACGGGCTGGAACCTCTTTGGCGGTACCGGTTCAAGCACTACCAGTACTAGCAAAGAGCCGGATCTGGGAAAGGTCAAGGAAGAACTAAATGCTGTCACCTCAGAAAAGGAGTCGCTTAACGCTGCACTGATCGAGTCTGAAAAGAAGCGCGAGACCCTGGAATCGTCATTCAAAGAATCGGGCGAGACTATTGCTACATTGCAAGACACCATTTCGATGCTGGAATCTGCTGGCGAAGACATGCTCCAGGCTTTCGAGGAGGAGAAGCACATGCTAGTCGAGCAGATTGAGGCGAAGACTCTGGAAGTTGCAGAAATGCAGGCGAAAGCTCGGTCCAGTTCTTTGCAAGTCAGTGACAAACTGACAGCTGCTGTCGCAGAAAAGGAAGCCCTATCAGAGACACTAGAGAGTGTCCGCCGCGAACTTGATGAAGCAAAGGCTGCCAAGACTGTTTTGGAGTCATCTTTGCGCGAGTCAAGCACTACCGTGGAGAACCTCCGAGAGACGATTGCTATGCTAGAAACAGCTGGTGAAGACATGCTGAGAGCGGTCGAAGAGGACAAACAGACTTTGGTAGAAGAGATGGAAGCCAAGTTTAAGGAGCGGTTAGAAGAGGCCGCAGACGAAGCTACAACCTCGATTTCCTCCGAGAAGAAGGCTCTGGAAATGACCGTCAAAATCATCCGCCAAGAACTGCAGGAGGCCAGTGTCGGGAGAGGTAAAGCGGAGGCATCGTTAAAGGAGTCTGAGACCACCATCGCAACTCTACGTGAGAGCATTTCAATGCTCGAATCAGCTGGAGAGGAGGTCCTGAAAGCTGTGGAAGAGGAAAAGGAGGCGCTCGTGGGGCAAGTCGCAACACTTGAGGCTGCTTTGACGGAGAGCCAAGCAGCGATGGCAGAAGTAAATAAAAAGCTGGCTGAGCTTGCCAGCGAGAAGAATTCACTGGAGTCGGAACTGAACAACGCTCGCGATGCGCTGCAGGAGACCTGTGGCTCGCTGGAGGCCTCCAAAGTAACAATCCACACCCTCAGAGAAGCTGTGTCAGCGTTGAAAGAAAACACGCAAGGGAGCCAAACAGCCCTCCTGGAGGAACGCGACGATCTAGCCAAGAAGCTCGCTATCATGCAGTCGAATAATGGAACGGCCGAGAACCTAGCAGAACTCAGCGAAAAGCTTGCTGCGGCCATCGCAGACAAAGAAGCCAGCGGAGAAAAGCTCGAAGCCACTGCGTTGCTCATGAACGAATTTCAGCTCATGGCTGAAGAGAACAGGGTGCTTTTGGAGGACGCAACTTCCAAGCTGGATGCTGCTAAGAACGAAAATGAAGCTCTTACGACGAAAGTTGAAGCCCTGCAGGGCGAGAAGCATGCGATGGTGTCGAATCTACTAAAGAGTACCGAGGAATGTCAACGAGTCGCTGCAGCCAAAGCATCGTTGGAAAAAGCGTTGGTTGATGCCAGCCTAGAGCTGGAGGCGCTCAAAGAAGCTAGTGTAGAAAGCGAAAACAAACAAGCAAAAACGCCTCCCACGGCAGCAACGGACAACCCCACTAGAATCATGCCAATGGCCGCTGGTCAACGCAACTATGTCTTCAGCAAAGATTTCAGTGCCGCCAATACGGAACTAACGGAGAAGAATAATGAACTCAAGAGCAAGGTTGCATTCTGTGAAGCTGCGCTTGTGGAGTGCAAAGGCAAGCTTGCAACTGCTGAAGGCCGGCTGAATGATATGGTCACAGAGAGCTATCAGCTTGAGGCCAGTGCGGACGACGCACGACAACAGAGCAGGGTAACTATGTCAGAAAAGCAGGAATTAGAAACCAAGCTCCTCCAAGTTGAGGGTGAAAAGAACGATCTTCAGTTGCAAGTGAAGGAGCTCATGGAGTCAATGCATTCCTTAGTGGAGACCGGCAGTGATTCCCAGGCCAAGGCGTTGTTGGAAAGGCAGCTAGCTAGCGATGCCGCCGATGATGATGCCGACGACGATGATGCCGACGGCGATGATGCCGACGGCGATGATGCCGACGACGATGATGCCGACGATGATGATGCCGACTTGGCCGAGAAAAAGGATGCTCTCGAAGAGAAAGTAGAGTCGCTGGAAGCAGCTCTCAGAGAATGCGAGGGAAAATTGGAACTTGCTGAATCTCAGCTAACTGCCCAGGCGGCGGAGAGCCGGGACATCGGGACATGCACCGACGATGGACACCAGGAGCTGCAAGCCGAGAACGAGAAGTTGGGGGCCAGGCTTCGTGCAGCCGAGGGCGAAAAGGATGATCTAAGGCTGCAGGTAAAGGAACTGATGGAGTCAATACAAGCAATTATGGCGGGAGGAAATGATGCCCAGGACACGGCCGAGAAGGATGAGCTAGCAGCAAAGACTGATACCCTTGCAAAGGAGGTGGGTTCTCTCAAAGCAACTCTCAAGGAACTCGAGGGAAAGCTGGCTGAGTCCCAAATGCGTGAAATGACTGCCAAGAACCAGGAGCAGGAAGCAGCCAAGGAAGAAAAACAAAAACTGGAAGCAATGCTACGCGCAGCTGAGGGTGAGAAGCATGACCTCCAACTTCAAGTCAAGGAATTAATGGAGTCATTGCAATCAATAATGGCCTCAAACATGCAGCAAGAAACAGAGACCGCTTCCGAGAGCAACGCAGCGTTGGAGGAGAGAGTGCGCCATTTGGAGGATGCACTGTCAAAATCGTCATCAGGGAAGTCAGAGAACAGTGCGGCCCTGGAGGGGAAAGTTCGCGGTCTCGAGGAAGCGTTATCGAAATCCGAAGAAGATCTAGAGATCTGCCAAAAGAGGCTCGTCGAAATAACCGAGGAGGGTATTGAGGTGACAAAGAGCAACGACAGTGACGAACAACGGGAGCAGTTGCTTTCGAAACTGTCGGATGCAGAAGCTGAAGCAGATGATCTCCGAGAAGAGGTGGAGGAGTTGGTGTCAAGATCAAAGGAACTAGAGAGTCTTGGCGAAGAGGAGGACGTTCTACTCCGAGAACAGGTCGAAACCATGAACGCTTGGAATTTGGCATTGGAAGCTCGCGCTGACCGATCCAACAAGGAGCTTGAGAATGCGCGAACGGAACTAGAGGCGCTGAAGAGTTCAAGGCGAACTCTGGAAGAGGCACTGAAGCAGAGTAAAGAGAGTCCGCAAGGAAAAGTGACACGGGCCGTGGACTTCGATTCTCCCAGCGATGAAAATGCAATGGCCAGTTTGCGAAAGGAAAAGAAAGTGCTGACTTTGAAGTTTGAGGCTTTAGAAGAATCTTATGCTGAGAAAAACTCAAAGGTCCTGGAGCTGGAGGCCCGGGTAGAAGACTTCCTGAACAAGAGCACTGACCTGAAGCTAAGATTGGCAAGGAAGACAGCCTTGATCACAGAGCTCCAAGAAGATATGGAAGAACAAGCTGGTTCCAAGGGTGCCCAAAACAACGTCCAAAATGAGACTGAAGAAGCCCTCAGCAATTTGCGGAAGGAAAACAAGGCTTTGGTGGCTAAGCTGGAAAAACTTGAAGAGACTCATGAAGAGAAGAAAAGCAAAGTGTCCGAGTTGGAAGCCCGAGTGGAGGAGAGCATAAACAAGAGTGCTGATTTGAAGTTGCGGTTAGCACGGAAGACTTCAATGATCACTGAGTTGGAGGAAGATTTGGAAGGCTACAAATCAAACCAACCGAAGGATGATGGTGCCACAAGAGCAGTGACATTCAAGACAGAAGAGAGCACCAACGCCACAGAGAAGGGCACTCAAGAAGTCCTGAACAACTTGCATAAGGATTACAAGGCTTTGGTGTCAAAAGTGGAGAGGCTAGAAGATGCCTTTGCAGAGAAGAATAGCAGGGTCTCTGAGCTGGAGGCACGCGAGGAAGAATACTTGAATAAGAGTGCTGATTTGAAGTTGCGGCTGGCACGGAAGACTGCAATGATCTCAGAGCTGGAGGAAGATCTGGAAGCTTACCGATCAAATCAACCAAGTGGCGAAGTTGCTTCAAGATCAGTGGCTTTCAAGCAGGATGAGAGCTTAAAGGAGGAACACCAAGCAGTGTTGAACAGCCTGAGAAAAGAAGTCAAAGAATTGGTTTCAAAATTGGAGCAACTTGAGGATGTTCTGGCAGAAAGAAACAACAAGGTGTCTGAGTTGGAGGCACGAGTGGAAGACGACTTGAACAAGAGTGCCGACTTGAAGTTACGGCTGGCGCGGAAGACTGCTCATATTGCTGAGTTGGAGGAAGATTTGGAAGCTTACACTTCAAAACAATCAAATGATGGTGGTCCTCCTTCGCAAGCAGCTGTTTTGAGGTTGGAAACCGCGGTGCGGGTGCTTACGGACGAGCTGGCAAAGGCGGAAGCTACAATTGAGAGGCAAGCTGCTGCGTTGACGGCGAGCGGAAACCATGACCAGGTCGCTCGCTCTTTGGGAGACACGAGTGTCCAAACGAAGGACATTGAAACCGAGAACCGAGCCCTTTCGGAGGATCTTTCAAAAGCCAACACAACGATCAGACAGCAAAGAACGAAACTCGAAGCCCTCGAAGAGAGTCTCGCAGAGAAGTCTTCCAAACTATCTGAACAGGAGGCACGCTTGGAAGAGCATATTGGAAGAAGTTCTGACCTAAAGCTACGTCTGGCAAGGAAGACTGCAAAGATCTCTGAGCTCGAGGACCTAATTGCCGAGAGCGGAGACGGCTCGGATCCGGTAGTGTCCAACGGTGTGAACCCGGCAAACCCTGCAGTCGACACAGCGTCCTTGGAAGAGCTGGAGCAGGAGAATCAGCTCTTGACAGTTAAGGTGTTGCGATTAGAAGGGAACCTCAAGCAAGAAAAGGATAACCTCAGAAAGCAGCAATCCAAGGTGGAAGCACTGGAAGACACGATTGTCGATAAGGGCGTAAAGATCGCAGAAGTACAAGCGCGTTTGGAGGAGTACATTGGAACGAGCGCCGATCTCAAGCTGCGCCTTGCAAGGAGAACCGCAACTATCGCGGAGCTTCAAGAAGAACTCGACGAACAATCATCCGGTGGTTCAGGGAAGGATTCGGCGAATGCTGCTTTCCGGAATAAGGACTTACCTTTCTTTGACGAAACGAGTCACAATCTACCGGAGGGTGGTGACGAAGTATTACCAGCAGCCAGAATGCCACTGGCACCACCACATCGATCGTTACCGGATTGCGGCGAAGAGGAAGTTGAAGTGTCACCAGGACACCGATCTCTCGTCGTCGATGCAACGGCCCAATCAACGACTTTAGCGGAAGAAGAGGACGAAAGTCCTTTTGGCAATGGCACAAAGAAGCAGAGAAGCCCCAGCCAGCAGCTCAAGGATTGCTTGGAAGACGCCAAAGCGAGCGAATCATTGTTTGAACAGATTGCGTCTCTTGCGGCCCACGCGGAGAAAAAGAAGAGACGCCTCAAGGTGTTAAACGAACGGTTGGAAAAGGCCGTGGGCAGGAATCGCATCAGCCCCAAGTCGGATGTTGCTGCTGCTGCTGCTGCTGCTGCTGCCGGCGAGAGGCCGGTTAGTGGTCTCGCCCAAGAGCAAGACCACCTTCAAAAGACGGTGGCGCATTTGGAGAATCAGTGGAAAGAAACCAGGAGTCAGCTCGATAGCGTCCACAAGATGAATCTGAAATTGGAGGCAGCACTGGATCACATTTCCCGAGAACGTGCCTCTGCGATTGATGCGAGATCCAACCTGGAGGCGTCGTTGCGGGAAGCCCAAGAAGAAGTGCGGAGCCTCCGTGTTGCCGTCGATGCGATGGAAGCCGAACGGACAGTCGGCGGCACCATTTCACGTGCGATAAACATCGAACCCGGTCCGAGTGGCGACGTGGAGGTGGAAGTATCGGAGCATCCCGATATGGACCCTGAACGGACCACATTCCCCTTGCGCTATGGAGACGTGTAACCGACGACATACTTATTTTTCCTACATGCCTCCCTGTGAACCTTCCTCTCGAAAACTTTTGTCGTCGCTTGATTGCTCCAATCCATCCTCCATCCTCCCATGGCTCGCGAACGTTGATCTTTCCTTTCCCGCTTCCCCCATCCATCCGACCGAATCTTCCTTCCTCCGACATCCCTCTCTCACACGTCGACTGTAGGAACCGACAGAATTTTTGTTGCAGCTAGCTTGGCTACGAGCCAACTTGTACGATTCAACAAGGTAGTAAATAAACAATACACTGTAATCTAGATTCATTATTATATTTCATTCCTTTTGTATTGACAACGGCACTTTATCTACTTATACTAGTTGGCTGGCGCAAAACACTCAAGGGAAAGAAATGAAACTACTCTTTAGGTAGACCATCTTGGCCCGTTCGTGTTCTATCGTCATCTCCAAAACTATAAAACTAAAATAGAATTTGAGACTAACTGGCATTGTTGACCGTCTTGACGACCCATCCCACTCCAGTGGCAACACCCTTGGCCGTTTTGGCCATGACTTGATGCTTGTCATCGAATCGTTTGGCGGCGCCACCGGCGGAAGCGGCAAGAGATCCGGTACTCCGAAGAATGGTTCCCACCGGTCCATCCCCGGCAGCAGCGGTATAGGCAGCACCGCCTGCCGCCACGACACCCACGATAGGACCCATCAACATGAGTCCAGCGACACCACCCACGACCGACGCACCCATGACAGCAGCGCCCTTGCCGGCGCCTTCTTCGCCAGGTGCGGTTTGTTGTTGTCGTTGTCGAGCCACGGTGTCATGAGTCGCAGCGGGTGGAATTCCAAAGTCACTGGTGGCCGCTCGCGAATCGGCCGCCGCATCGGTATGCTGCCACGGAGGCAAACTGGAATCTCGCGTGGGCGAAGCTGATTGTGCTTGTGATGATTGTTTGAACCAAGGTTGTCGTGAGGTTCCTTCATCTTGATTTGGTCGAAAGAAGCTGAGATTGGGTGGTTGAATCTTTGGTTTGAGTTTGTTGATTCCTAAGAACCCTTCTTCTTCTCGTTTCTTTTGTTCTAGTGCTTGTCTTTCCATCATCGCCTTTGCTTCGAGAGCTGCTTCTTCAGCTTGTCGAAATTCTGCATCATCTTCGTCTGGATTGGGAGCAGCAAAAGCTGTGGTTGTGGTCTCTGGAAGTGGTGGAGGAGATTGCATAGTATTGGGCAGGGGTGGAGGCACGGTGGAGGATGACAGTCCAGTGTTACTGTAGGTGCCTCCCATTGATCCATTGCTCATGGGCATTGAGGTACTAGATCCCATGACGGAGCCACCAGTGAGACCTGCACTACTAGTAGCAGTAGTGCCACCCATCATTGTGGAAGTGCTTCCTCCCATAGGAACGGAATTTTCAAACCCCAAGGACGATGAGGATTGTGGTGGACTCATGGCAGGACTTAAACCAAAACCGCCCGTCATGGCAGAATTGGGAGCCGCAAATTGATTATTGGAAGGCACAAATTGATTATTGGTTGTGGAAGAAAGGCCCGTGTTCATGGTACTCAGGTTGTTGCTGTGACTGTTGGTCAAGCCCATGCTACTGCTCATGCCATTGGTCATGCCCATGCCGTTGGTCATTCCATTCATGGATTGTCGATTGCTGCTTTGCGGATTGTTGTAATCGGGAAACACAAAGGCCCCCGACAAATCCTTCTTTTTTGGCGGTGCCTTTGTAGTAGTGGTCGTTTGCCAGAGATTGGGCTTGGAGGAGTAGGACGCATGTGTTGCCGTTGCGTCGGCCGGTAGGTCCCAAATTGACGTCGCTGTCGGTGGCGCAGCTACTGCCGCAAATGGATCATGAGCATTGCTTGGAGGAACCGGCGGGGAGGAAAAGAAATCGGTCGTCGCCATGGTGCCCGTTGACGCTGCTGGGCCACTACTATAATCTGGACTAAATGGATTCGCTGCCATTGTGACTGAATCAAATCCTTGCTTTTCGTTGATTCCTGCTAATGATCTCGGATAAATACTACACCAACCCAAAGATAGATCCTTTCAGACACACACTGAACCTGCAGCAACTGGGATAAAAGACAGGTCAATCGCAACAATGCCGACTGATAACAACCCGCCGTTTGTTTCTGTCGGAGTTGAGTCGGTTGAATCGAATCGCCGAACGATTTCTTTTTGGCGCGCAGGCGTGGACGAAAGGTGCTCTGCGGGAATGAATGAGGGATCGATTCTATTCGATTGTGATCGATTCAATTGAATCGAATCATGATTCGATTCAGATTATCGGACTGGAGCACGAGCTGGAAGGCAACCGGTTGGCGATAGTTAGTCGCGTTTACATAGCAAAAGTGGTTGTAAAGTCGCTAAAACACATTAAAGTCGCTATTAAAGTCGCGATAAAGTCGCGGTAAAGGCGTGCGCGACTTTAAAAGTCGCGGTAAAAGTCGCGGTAAAGTCGTGATGAAATGCAGCGATTTTGTTAGTAAAATCGCGGCAAAGTCGCGGAAGTCGCGATAATAGTCGCGGTAAAGTCATGGTAAAGTCGTTCGCGACTTTTAAAGTCGCGAAAGAGCGCGACGTTTGGCGAGTTTCGCGACTTTCAAGAAAACACGACTTTATGACGTCACCGGGTGCCTTCCTGGCTGAGCGATGCAAGCCACGATGGCAGCCATTCGGAATGAAGTGCACGGTCCATCTTCGAAGAGAGCACCGCTCTGCGACGGTGGAGCCGTGATGGGTCATGCAGGACCGTCCGACGCTTTTCACTCAGGATTTAAAAATCTTCAAAATGCCACGACTGACAACATCTTTTAAACAACCCCTTAAACAACCCCTTAAAGCTTCAACATCCCCTTAAACAACCCCTTAAATAAACAAACCCTTAACAACATCCTCTTATATCCTCGAAACAACCCCTTAAGCCTTCATTGAAACGCCATACAAAAACCCCTTATCAAGAATGAACATCCCCTTAAATAAACAACCCCTTAACAACAACCCATTAAATATTCAACATCCCCTTAAACAACCCCTTAAAGCTTCAACATCCACTTAAACAACCCCTTATGAGAACCAGGATTATGAGTCAGTCGTGCCCGTTTTTAAAGCCTGAGTGAAAACCGTCGGACGGTCCAGTAAATACGGTTCTGCTAGCTAGTCACATCAGTCGTCTCCGTTTACCTGGGCTAAGCCATGGTAGCTATTGGTGCCGAGTAGCAAGATGCCTTCTTCACAAGGCCTGATACGTTAGAAATAATTATGGCCAGTTCAATTGCATCACTCAAGTCGACGAGCGCCGACAAGCGGCGCTCGCCTAGAGCAGCACAGCACGACTAGTTGAGTAGAGTAGTAGGATAGGGTGGTGGAGAGACTCGGCCATTTACTGAGCCGACCGTCTCCGC